AACCCCCCCCCCCCGGTCAGTTTTAAATCTACCAATTACCTGCCATGGTAGATAATTACCCTAGTGAAGTCTACCTATTACCTGCTATGGTAGATAATAACCCCTGTGAAGTCTACCTATTACCTGCTATGGTAGATAAATAACCCCTGTATAGTCTACCAATTACCTGCCATGGTAGATAATAACACCTGTAAGGTCTATCATATCAATTACCTACCATGATAGATAATAACCCCTATAAAGTCTACCAATTACCTGCCATGGTAGATAATAACCCCAGTAAAGTCTACCAGTCTACTGCTTGAAGACTGACCGCTGATTATTTGTTGAACTGACTTGAAATTCCACAAGGCGGGAGGAACAGGCATATTCGAAGCTTAACAGGAAATTATTATGAAAGACAAGACATAAAAGGACAGGTTAGGAGTTTAGACAGGACAGGGTAGTAGAGGATAGGGCAAAGACCAAATGACAGGTTAGGACAAGACATGACGGGAAAGGACAGGACAGGCCTAGCCAAGCCAAGCCAAGGTAGGACAGGCCAGGCCAGGCCAGGCCAGGCCAGGCCAGGCCAAGACAAGACNATTTTTGAAGATCAGGGTTGTAAATTTTAAAGGGAAATGATTTTTGAAGATCAGGGTTGTAAATTTTAAAGGGAAATGATTGTTGAAGATCTGGGGGGGGAATGTAAAATTGGACATCAAAAGGCAAGTTCTTTTTAATCTTTTTGATACATACTACCCAACATTTTATATATTTTCATCTAAATGTCATTTCTTTTCCCCAATGCGCAAACATAAGATTTGACAAATGAACGCGCTTTTCAGCGGGCCCTCGTTATTTTCCATCCTTTTAGATTTTATATCGGAAGAAACAGTTTGGCTTTTCATCCTGAAAGCTCTTCAGACGGACTGATAAATTAGTTTTGATCCGACGATGGAGTTAAACTCTGACAGCAAACAATTGCGGACTAAAAAAGATGGCTTTTAATCATCCGATGCCGGAGCTCCACAAAAAGACATTTGCGGATTAAAAAAAGAGTTCCGATCATAGTAAATAAAAAGAAAACTGTGGAAAGAAAGAATAATTTTCCAGCTGGGTACGTACAACTTCTGGGAGAAACAAATTCAAAAGGGAAGGGGGGAGGGAATGGGGTTTCAGAAAATGAAACAAAGTTTCAAGATGAATTTGTGTCTTTTCCTTCGGCTCTAAAATATAAGGATCAATTTTCTTCTTCTGGTATTTTCCAATCTTATATTTGCCACCTAAAAAAAGAAAAACATTTTACTTTAATTGTAGTTAATTTGGAAAAAACTTTTGGCAATTCTAAATTTTAAACAATAACCTATCTATTTTATTAAAACCGGGTTTTTTTTATAAAAATTTCACTTACCCAGCACTAAAATATCTCCTTCGTTGAGTGCTGCAAAAGATAAAACAGCATCATCCCAAACCAGAATCTTACAGAATCCAGTCAGGTCTCCAGCCTTAAAATTTCATCATTCCAAAATCCAGAGTCTTTAAGAAAAAAATGTCATTGTCAATGCTTTAATATTTTTTACTTACAAGAACGGTTCTCATACAAAGTATCGGTTTTCTCTGATCTTCTTGTCTACATTAAACATTTTCTTTAAATTGATCCGTAAATAACGACAATTGGAAAAGTATTTTTCAAACACAATATATTGTTTGTTTTTGACAAAGTTGTATTAATGGTATTTTAAGTAGGCGGGGGCGGATCATTTTGATGTTGAGTGAATGAATGGTATTTTATGTACATTGTAGAGTACACATATTTTTGCGTCTTTCATTTGTGTCAAACCTAGAAAGAAATTTCCTATTATAAATGAGGTGAAATACCTGCTCATATTTCAATTAGATCCGCCCATTTAAAAGTTTCAAGCAAGGAGCGCAAAACGCCCCTAAAAGCCTTTAACTTAAAATTGGAAGAAACCCAAAATAAAAAAGCATAAATCTTAAGAAAAAGGGATTCCCTTTAGCATTGGTTAAAAATCTAAGATAAGATCGATGAAGGAAAAGTACAAATGTTGAATTCCTGATAAAAATTCTAGATTTAGATTTGGCAAAGACTCGAAGGATGAGAGGCCAGGGAGTAGTTAACCCTGTCCAGACCTCGTCTAGGAAAATAAATATAAGATTTTAAAAATATATTACAGGGTGTCCCAATAAACAGGGAAACTAAGTCATGCTGTTGATATTGTCTTCGATCTTTGATGGATGGTCAAGTTAGCAATCATGTTAAGATTGTACGATTGCTTAGCCGTTGGTAAATTTTTGAAGACGCGAACAGGGAAGACAACATTTTGGAATTCCCAAGACAAGAAGGATAATTTTGTGAATGTTTTTGAGTTTGTGGAATCAGTAATTTCAGATTCACAAAGAATTTCGCCTATATTGAGTTCGTAAGACATAAGACATAAGACAAATTTAGGCTGGCTCTTCGAAATTGGTCACAAAATAGGTATTGAATCTATTTTATGTCCCTACTTCTTGTCACCGTAAACTACAACAGTGTAGCCCAGTGTTAAGCGGCTACAAAAGCAGTCCACCAGCTTCATTATGTCCTCATAATGCCTGGCTGGCATTTTTTTTTTAAAAATTGGATAAACATTAATATTTTTTCAATGACTATTGGAAATGAATATGTGATTAGTAAGGAGTGTTATAGAATTGGGATATGTATTTATATCTGAAATTCCTAGAAAAAATGAAAAAGGGGGTGACATTTCTTACCTCTATCCTGGGTCTTCATCATCAACTACAGATCTAGGCGTTCATATATTTTCTTTAGAAATGATTCCCGAAGGTCTAATAACAGATATCCTCTGGACACAAAATCCCCAAGTTTCAAGTCCCCTTCTTCTCCAAGGAACACTTTTGCTAGGTCAGTGTTACTAAGATTATGCCTTCGGTTTGTTGTAATCCACAAAACAATTAAAATCACAAAATCACCTACCTAGTTTTTTGAGATTATGGTAACTGGAGTTAAAGTTTCTCAGTTCAAAGTTTCCAGGTATTGACTTAGGAGAATAGTACCTATAGTCAGAAATAAAGATAATATAAAGATTATAACTACGGGATATATTAGGGCGACACATGAAAAAGTGAAAGTCATAAAATGAAAAAGGTGCATGGGGTTCTCTTCACCCAGTCTTTAAATGCAAAAAAAGAACTTAGGTGCAACTAGTTTCAGGAAAATTTTTCGATTTTTGTGAAGGGGGTGAAGGGGGTGGCAATTGGACACTTCGTGACAACGTTACAACAAATTCTGTACCATGGCTGCATTTGGTTCAAAAACTTTAGATAAAAGGCTGAAATCATGCATGCAGACTCCAATTGTGGTCATTTACATAGATCACAAAGAAAATTTGGAATCGGAGGTCATTGACTTTTAGAAAAAAATAACGGTTTTGCAGAAAAACAGAAAACGACTTGCACTTGATGCAATGCTCCTATCAACCTAAAATTTTCACATATTGGGCCACAGCATCCATAGAACCTATACGCCCCCCAAATTTTTATAATCCCCTTCTTGTGTCACTCTAATAAATATTTACTGGCTTGGGGGTTACTCATAGTTACTCCCGTCGTTTACCCACACTTGGTCAAAGTCAAACTAAATTTTTGCTATTAAAAAAAACACTCAACTAAGACTCTTAAAACCAAGCTATGAACATTCCATTGATTCTTCCAAGTTACACAATAAAAATTTTATGCAAATCGGTCAAGGGGTTCATGAGTTATGATCGGACATACAAACAAACAAAGAGAGATTCAACTTTATCTACAAAGATACCCTCTTCCACACAAATATTTTTTATCCTTTTATAAAACTGAAGAATAACAACAAAAGTAGTTCTTCTTTCTATAAGAATCCTGCAAATTCTATTTACACTGTTTTTTTAAGGACAGTGTAAGAGGTTGAAAAATAAAATCTATGTTAAACATGATTCCTATTTTTACCCTTGATCATTAATTCCATTGTATCCGTCTGCCAATTATCTATTTTTAAAATAACTATTTTTATACATTTCTAAGTCATAACTCAAAAGACAACCAAAAGATTCCATTATAAAGAGTTAATTAAATAAACCTTGAAATGTTGATGGCAGGGTTGTCCAAAATTGTAGAATTAGTCCAGGGGCATAATAAAGTGCCTGTTCAGTTAAAACTTCACGTTTATACTTTACAGCTTTTTTTTAGTACATTAGAAACTTTTTTTGAATTAGAAACTTTTTTTGAATTAGAAACTTTTTTACAATTAAAGAGATCAGAGACATGTTAACTGTAAACACAGAGATTCAAGAATGAGGAGAAAAATTAATCTAACCGATACTATGTGATTATTACTACTTTTTCTATTATCATTTATTAAATTTTTATACAATTGTTAAAAAGATTTGACCAAGATTGGGATTTTCAAAAATAACAAAACAAAAACGAATTCTAGAAACGAAAAACGTTCAGGATGAGTCAAAAAGGGGTGAATAGCGAGATCTTGCAAATAATAATGCGAATGTCTTGTTTTTTTACGTAAGTGCGTAAATGCTTAAAAATTGATATGATCCGAAAACGTGACATGAGCTGAAATCTGGTAATTCATTCAAAATAGGGATATGTTCGAAAATGAAATCGAGAATCATTAAAAACTATTTCTCACACCTTATTATTAGTTTAAAATTGAAATTTATTATTTCAATATATAGTAATAGCCATTTTTTATAAATATATGGTGTAATTTTGTTCTAATCGTCTTGGATTTAAAGATATATACTTTTGAAAAAGGTCAGTGCTAGAAATGGGCCAAGTGTTAGTTTTGGAACTGATATCTCCTGAGTTTGGACATTTTCACCTATATTAAAAACTTATATTATAAAAAGAATTTAGAAAGATCAAAAATTATCAAAATGATTTTATTAAAAAAAAATTGCGGATTTTCTAAATTCAATTTCGTGCTATTCGCCCTTTTTTTTACTCTCCCTGTAGGTTTTGATTTTTTTTAATTAATAACATTTTTGGAATGGGAAATATGAGTGGGAATCGCAGCTGCAGATTATTTAAAAGCTAGCCGTAATAATAAACTTCTTTTTCAGAATTTTTTAAAAAGAAAACATTACATTTTAGTATTCAATATTTTCAGTTTTGTATAAATTATTGAAGTTTTCCTGTGTATGATCCTAGAAGACGGGTTGAGGGAACATATCCTGGTAAACTATGTATACCCCTGTATATCTTCTCTACCTATAGGAACAGGGGTGAATACGTCTCACTAAAACATCTAAAGGCTATGTTGTCTTTATCTATAAATGAATTTGGCTAATTTGTTTGTTTTTATGTTAATTTGTTTATTTTCATAAACTTAAAAACAGTGTAATTTCAAGAGAACATCTATGCAAAGATGGCAATGCCCGATTCACAACGGTGCCCTTTAAAGCTATGGCTGATCAAGTATGAATTAGATATCAATGTTTGTAATACAAAAAAAGATATTATTTTTAATTATAGTTTCTCTTGCACAATTCTGCTTCAGGAAAACGTGCAGGACATATCAGAATTAAACACTTTTAAAACCTAAAAAAACGAAAAACGAAATTTTAAAAAGCAAATTTTTTTTTAAACGATAAAACGTTCAAAATAAAAACTTAGAAAGGCTTTAAGTTATATATGCCTTATTTTAAAAATTGAACCTATAATACAGTTTCCGTAAAATACCTTCAATTCTGGCATTTCAAAACTACCAGATAATAAAATCTTGTTTAGATTTATTAATGCAAACTTACATAAACACCGAAGACCATAGACGACCTTTAAATAGTTTCTTAATTGTCATGCAATTAGAAGGCCCGTCAGGACAAGCGGAGGAAAATGTACGCTAGATTGTGACGTGTGTAAGGTAATGTAAGGGAAGGATCTCAAAACCCATCTTAGAGAGCCCAGAGCTGAAAACTTTAGAATGGGATATCCTTAATCCCGTTCGGTTAATTAATCAGTAGATTAAAAAGAAGAGGAGAACAAGCAATATTAAATCTGGAGATTAGGAAACAGAGGAGATCAAGCATTAATTTCAATATCCACCATTCTAAAGTTTTCAGCTCAGACCGCCATCGGGGCTAACTCCACTGAGCTCCAGCATCCCAACGACAGCTTAGACCCGAGCCATATTTTCCCGAATTTTTTAAATCGCGGGCTCAGACGGGTTAGAAGGGCCTCTCCTATGGAAGTTCACAAGTGTTAAATAAGAAGGGAAAAAAGTTGATGTTGAATCGACGTAAATAAACTAGGGAAAAGAAATTTTAAAAAATTAGGATTGGTAGAATTTACTACAGTGAGACGCTTCGGCTTCGAACTTGATAGACTCAAGTTATGATTTTAACTAGTCCAATGAAAATATAACATACTAAGTGTGCAGAGTAAGATTTTTAAAGCTTCTAATAAAACTACTTGCTTCAAAACAGCATCAAACACAAATAAGAATGCTTAAATGTCGTCCTTTTTCTCACAGTTCTGTGGCTACCACTGTATGGTTTACCTGCGTCGGGTTGGGATGAGAAATCCAGTCTTTCAGGACAATGTAGAAAAGTTCTGCATCATAAGCAGGCATCTAAACAAAGAAGATGTGAATTGTTAACAGTTGAAAATTGTACATATTAGGGTAAATTGCAAAGATTGTGAAATTAAGAACTCTATCCTTATCTTTATCTTATAAGAAATGTGAAAGCTAACATATTTTTTCTGACTTTTGATAAGTTTTCCAGTCCAGAAATGCGCAAACAATTTTTACTCAGAAACCACCAATCAAAATAAACAGTTTTCAAACACAAAAAACATGAAGTTCTAATTTAAACTTGATCAAACTAAGCTTTTATTAAGGGTACCTTTGTAAATCGGGCATTGCCATCTTTGCATGGAGGGCCATTTGAAATTACGCTTAGAGATCCTTTCCGATTAATAATGGATGTTGCAATAATAATACTTCCTTCTAACCTTAAGTTAAATAATGGATGTTGCAATACTAATACTTCCTTCTAACCTTAAGTTGGTGGATTCTCATTTGAACTACTCCCGTTTGAACTATTGTTCGTTTGAACTATTGTTCGTTTGAACTATTGTTTATTTGAACTACTGACATGACGTCATATCCTGTAGTTCAAATCAATAAATTACTTGCTCATTTGAACTATTTTTCTACCAATTCAGTTTTAAATTTTTTTTTATAAATATGAAGTTAAAGGGACCATACAATTAATTAGATAACATGTACACAGAAATGTTCAAATGAACATAAAAATAGTTCAAATAATCAAAAAATAGTTCAAATGAACATAAAAATAGTTCAAATGAACATAAAAATAGTTCAATTAACATAAAAATAGTTCAAATGAACATAAAAATAGTTGAAATGAACATAAAAATAGTTCAAATGAAATAGTTCAAATGAGAAAAAAAAATAGTTCGAATGAAAAAATAACAAAAAAATTGGTTAAATGAAAAAAAAGGGTCTGTCCNAATTTTAATAAAATTAGTGTATATTTAGGGTTAGGTTAGGTTAAGCTCATTTCTGGGCCGAGCACTGCGTCTAGGACGGACTAGGGGACCGAGCGCTGCGGCCACATGTCTGGGCCGAGCGCTGCAGGACCAATACTAATTTGCTGTAAAACAAATAAATAATGGTCATACAAAATTGAGCTTCTATTTTTATGTCTATTTGAACTATTTTTATGTTCATTTCAACTATTTGTATGTCCATTTGAACTATTTTAATGTCCATTTGAACTATTTTTATGTTCATTTGAACTATTTTTATGTCCATTTGAACTATTTCTTTGTCCATTTGAACTATTTTTATGTCCATATTTGAACTATTTTTTTGTTCATTTCAACTATTTTTTTGTTCATTTGAACTATTTTTTTTGTTCATTTGAACTATTTTTTGTCCATTTGAACTATTTTTTTGCCCATTTGAACTATTTTTACGTTCATTTGAACTATTTTTATGTCCGTTTAAACTATTTTCATGTTCATTTAAACTATTTTCTTATGTATTTCATTTATATAATATCAATAGTTCAAATGATTTATTTAAATGAACTGAAAAATAGTTTAAATGAGCAATATATTTACTCGTTTGAACTATTGTTCATTTCAACTACTCACGTGGTACCACGTGCAGTAGTTCGAACGAACAATAGTTCAAATGAACAATAGTTCAAACGGGAGTAGTTCAAATGGGATAGCATCCCTTGAGTTTAATAATGGATGTTGCAATAATAATACTTTCTTCCAACCTCAAGTTTAATAATGGATGTTGCAATAATAATACTTTCTTCCAACCTTGAGTTTAATTATGGATGTTACAATAATAATACTTCCTTCAAACCTTTAGTTTAATAATGGATGTTGCAATAATAATACTTCCTTCTAACCTTGAGTTTATTAATGTATGTTGCACTAATAATACTTCCTTCTAACCTTGAGTTTAATAATGGATGTTGCAATAATAATACTTCCTTCTAACCTTGAGTTTAATAATGGATGTTGCAATAATAATACTTCCTGCTAACCTTTAGTTTCATACTGGATGTTGCAATAATAATATTTCCCTCAAACCTTGATTTTAATGATGGATGTTGCAATAATAATATTCCCTTCCTGTAGAGTTCCATTATGTACTATTTGCAAAGAGGGATGTTCCAGCATTCGAATCTATAAAGAAGGTCTTTTATTAAATATATAGTGTGCAATGTGCATGCTTTATAATTAATATAAATATTTATATGTCTAAGGATTAAAGATTGACAGCGATTATTATTGTTATTATATGTTTTAGATGTTTCTTTGTCTTTGTCCAATACACGACAAAACGGCTTTACCGATGGGACCCAATTATTGAAAATTTACTTACATATGACCCTTGGGAAGGTTTATGACCTGTCGACATTAAAAACTTTGCCAAGAAAAAAAGTCAACTGTGTAAAATTTAGGGAAATCTGTAAATGTACATATAAAAATCAGCAACATTTTAGTTTTATGAAGTTCGAAAAAAATGGCGGCTCCAAAAACAACATTATAAACTATAATTGTTACTAGATAAACAGT